CATTTACTGTAAGGACCACTTTTCTCCTTATATATTATTTTATCTCTAAATTTATTAGTAAATTGACATTTCATGACACCATAATGTTGACGTACTGGAAGTTTTTTAAATCCATGTTTTGGCCAGAGAAATATGGTCAGGAAAGATTATGGAGCTGGAACTAGAGACATCAAAATGTGAGCCTGGAAGGCTCCCTACGAGAGCTCTAGGTTGTGGTCAGTGAGTTTTGCTGATACTCCTCTGAACTGTTAAGCTCTTACAGTGACCAAGTAACATTTCACAGAAATTTAACAACATTCATTTTGCTTAACTCTTTCCATCTCCACAAATGCCTCTTCTCTTATTCTAGAGTCATATATTGGCCTTATAACTTTGATTTTTTTTTTCCCAACAGTTTGCTGCTCGTTGCAGGGGGCACAGTTCTAAAAATCTGTGATTTTGGTACAGCCTGTGACATTCAGACACATATGACTAATAACAAGGGGAGTGCTGCTTGGATGGCACCTGAAGTTTTTGAAGGTACAAGAGAAAAAGCGTGATGTGATTGCTAACCCACTTCACTCCACATGAATCCAATGTGTGTTTATAGAGTTTCCCCATTTCCATGGTTTTATTTCTGCATAGTAGATCGTTATAAGGGATAAAAATGTTTTAAGTAAATGTATCTTTAGACCCCTTGTGTAATACACAGCTCAAATTGGCATCTTCGATGCAGACTCCAGAATATGTATTGTTGGGCTCAGTGGCACAGCGCTTACCTAGCAAGTGTTAGGGTGCTGAGTTTGATTCTCAGTACCAAAAATAAAAAACACATATTGTTGACCATTATTCATAGATTCTATGATTATAGATTTGTCTGTTTGTTAAACTTCATTTTTAACTCCCAAAATCAGTGCTTGTGACACTAACAATATTCACACACAATAAAAATGCACAGAGCACTACACATTTATTCATTTATTTGTTTTATTTATTTAGTACACTATGCAGTTTAGACTCGTAGTAATTGTCTCAGCCTCCCCAGCACTGAGATTACAGGTATTGTCACCATGCTGAGTCTGTGGCCTGCTCAGCATAGCCAGGGACCAGCGCAGCATGATGCTGGGAATCGAACCCTGGTCCCTGTGCTTGCCTAAGCAAGCACTTAGTCTGCTGAGCTATCTCCTCAGCCCCTACTACACATTTTGAGCTATTGAACAGACTTCCCAGTATGAGGTCCAATAAGACGATACTCGACTTTCCCATTTTACTAATACTGTAAACAAGGTGCCTTTTTGACATCTATCCAGAACTATGTTTTCATTTTTGATTTTTCCATTTACAGTGGCTCCAAAGCATAATGTTTTGCTGCCTAAGTACAAGAAGACTGACTATGTAAGAGAATACAGGAAGATACAAGTTAGATGATACTCATCCAGACATAATTTACAGCACTATGAGTTCAGTGTTAATAAATCATGTTATTTTAAATAAGATTTAAAAAGAAACAAAGTTAAAACAAAATTTTGTATTGATAAATTGATGAGACTTTTGCAACTGGAGGTGCTCAGGAACCTAACTATTTCCCCAGGGAGTAATGGTTCAGTGTTGGCTAAGTCAGTGTTCATGGAGGCTTAAAAAATACAAATGTTGGGGGCCTGCCCCTTAGCTCAGCTCTTTAAGTGCCTGCTTCAACAAAGCAGTCAGGCTCAGGTTGCTGTAGTTCGATCCCCACAACTCACGCCAGCCAAACCTGCCCTGAAGGCGTTCAGAGCAAAAAAAAAAATACAAATGTCAGCAGTGAGAATAAACTGCTTTGGTACTGGTTTTTTAGCAATTAAAAGTTTAAGATTCAAATGAGCATGCCTTTAATTGAATACAAATAACTGGGCAAATATATACTGAGAGTTAAAATAAAGAACAGGTTTATACTGTGTATACTTTTTTATATTTTCATATCTCATTCAAGATCCAAAGGAAGAAGGGCTGGCCAGATAGCTCAGTGGACTAACGCACCTGCTTAGGCAGAGCGCAGGGCCTGGGGTTCAATCCCTGGCACCACAAGCCATACTAGTCCCACCCCCAGGGAGTGCTGAGAGGGCAGTTGAGACTGGGCGTGGTGGTACACGCCTGTGATCCCAGTGCTTGTGAGGCTGAAAACAGGAGGATCACCACTAGTCAGATCTGTGTAGTGAGACCCTGTAGACCCTGTACTGAGAAAAATAAAAAAAGATCTGAAGAAGTAGTATGTAATTGTATACTACACAGTCGCTTAAGTGAAAATGTTTTGCCTACAAATTCAATTAAAACATTAGAGGGAAAAAAAACAGGAAAAACAAGTGTTAAATTATACAAAATTAAGTAATGTCTTCTATTTCATATATGAAATACGTAGTTTTGGCATTTGTCTTAATTACTTTTCTCATTGCTAAGACAAAACATCCAACACTCAAAAGAGTTAAAGGAGGAAGTTTATTTGGCTCACAGGCAGGATGGCTTGGCAGAGGGGCGTCACAGAGAAGAAGCAGTTCATTGCAAGGCAGGGCAGGCAGAAGCAGCAAGCAAGTAACACGATAAGACAACAGCAGCCCTCTCTGTCCCTCACACTGTTATCCAGCCTGCCCACCCTTAGCACTTACACTGCTGTCCTAGCATTGCGTGATGAAGCCATCCCAGCATCACATCCTTGATCCCAACATTACACAGCCTAGATCCAGCCACCTCCGAAAAAGCCCCCCTTATGATCACACGGCTTTGGAGGGACATCCAGACACAAGTCATAGTAGCACTTTATAAACTCAGTAACTTAAAATACCTGCTTGTGAGTTAGAACAGCATAGCATTAGTATAAAAAGAAGGCAGAAAGTTTTGCTTATACAGCCAAATAATAGTTACCTAATTATCTAGAACAACAAAATGCAGACCATTGGCTATATAAATCCTACGTTTGTGACAGGTATCATCTGGGAGCACTAGTAAGCCAAGTTAGGTGACTGTGTCATCTCATTACAGCACTACAGTGTACTACTTAGTATGTAAAGTGCTAGGCAGGCACTTAGGCCACTGAACTGTCACCCCAGTCCCTGACTCACCAAATTAATAGTTCCCTAAGTTATTCTATATAATCTGCTTACTGTAAATCTATTGTCCATAATTGTTGTTAGTTTATTTTTAAGTTTATGAATTAAAATTCTACCTTCTTCTTTGTTGAGAGAAAAACACTAGATTAAAAGTGACTTTGCAGGGCCGGTGAGGTGGCTCAGTGGAATAAGCGCTTCGCTGGCAAGCGCAAGGGCCTGAGTTCAATCCCCGACTCTGTCAAAAAAAAAAAAAAAAAAAGTGACTTTGCTTTGATAACAGGGTTGCACTACCTATCAGAGAATGGGGGCAAAATTTAAGATTGAAAGTGTACAGAGGCAATAGTTCAGTGGTAGAACACATGCTTTGTGTGTGCAGGGCCCTGGATTCAATCCCAAATTACTATAACATAGATAAGATACGTGGGGGGCTGCTCACATTTTTATACTGTGCCCAAAGGAAATATTGGTTTACATACATAAAGACAAGGCTTGTACCTCTAGGTGAAAAGGTACCAAATAACAGACTTTCAAAAAAAATTTTTTTTTTTTTTTTGCGGAACCAGGGATTGAACTCAGGCCCTTGCGCTTGCCAGGGAAGCACTTATTCCACTGAGCCATCTCCCCAGCCCAGACTTTCAAAAATTTGACATTTCTCAGTTGACTTTTGATACTTAATTCATTTTAAAAATGTATTTGTTGAAAAGATTTAGGTACTATATATCCTAAACAGTCATTTTTTAGCTCTGTATATGATCGCATCTTGTTTTTGTCCAGATAACTATTGGAAAATTTTATGAAACAAGTTGTTTCTGTAAGTCATATGGAAAAAAGTCTCAAGATTATACTGCCATCTTTTCTAGGTAGCAATTACAGTGAAAAATGTGATGTCTTCAGCTGGGGTATCATCCTTTGGGAAGTGATAACGCGTCGGAAACCTTTTGATGAGATTGGTGGCCCGGCTTTCCGAATCATGTGGGCTGTTCATAACGGTTTGTGGAAGGACATTTTTCTTTAATTATGCTCTGTATATTTCTTTGGAAGGTTATTCTAGTTGCCACTCCTACAGAACATTTATCCCTAACATTAAAATACATGCAGCTCTTTGATTCCAGACTACTTTCCCATTACCATCTTCTGCCCCTCCTCCCCGAGCCAGTACTGAGGTGCTTAGAGCTCTGGCTTCTGTAACGGGGGCTGAGGACATTTCCTGGCCCCACTGACTAGGGAAAGGCCGTCCATCGGTGCACTGCTCCAGCCTCTGACTCCTGATGATGGAGCAGAATTGGACTGTACTCTGGAAAGAACAAATTCGTAAATAAAATATACTCTCACTAGGGGAAGGAAGGACCTCACCAAGGAGATGAAAAATAAAGACTAGTAAGAGTTATAGCTGGGCATGGTGTTGGGTGTCTGTAATCTGTAAGTTCAAGGCAGATGAGTAGGAAGTGTGAGTCCAGCCCAGGGAACTCAGAGACTTAGCAAGAGCCTAAGAAATAAGAAATAAATAATAAGAAATAAGAAATGAAAAGAGTCTGTGGTAGCAGATTACAAGTTACATCCTCAGTAAGGAAAAAGTTGTTACTTAAGCTTCAGTAGGCAAAACACAAAGTGTTGCCCATACGCTTTCTCTCCATGTGTATGGAATAAGAACTATTGCCTTGTACAGATTAGGAAACTGGAGCTCTGGGAATCTGAATGCGAATCTTCCTGACTGTCTCATATTTTTAAGTGATACTGACTTGAGTGCTGAGTTTTTATATCCCTCAGACCCTTTTATTTATTATGTAGTAAAGTTTCTAATCATATACAATATAGAGTGCACTTTCATTAATGAAACTACCTTTGCATGAGAAAATAATCTCTTTGTAAAGGAAAAGCACACCATTTTCTAACTTTAGCATCACCATTTCATTCCTATCACTTGACTATAACTATTCTGATCTGTTTTTATACATTTTATACCCTGTCCCTAAGTGATAAAACCCACTGCGTGTTCTATCTAGGTCATTTATAGTTTGGTCAAGCAGTGCCATCATCAAAGTGGTCTTATCTCTTTTGTCTATTTCCTGTACCAACTTCAGTGTTAACCACCTTTCATTTCATTGTGAAGAGACACTTGGCTTTTGCTGTCTGTCAGTTGAATGTCAGTGAAACAAGCCATAAAAGAACTTGTTAATTGATTAAATTACAGAGATCTCAGATTTGAAGCCTTCTTTAAATAGAGACCTTGGTAATTACAAAATGTCAGTAGTTTTCAACTTGTGAAGTAATTGGCTCACAGGTCCACTTCCCACAAAAAGCTCATTTGGAGTCAGTATCAAGTCAGAGGTAGTAACATTCTAAATAAAGAAGACAAGTTTTCAACCACATTTGAAATTTTTGCAATGAATTTGAAAATATAGGTTACGTTTCTTCAAACAATGATTTCACTTTTCTTAGTAAAACACTTTAAGCCTTTATTTGTTAAAATACTGTGTATGACAGATACTGTTCTTTATAATGTGTTGTTTTTGAAGGTGTGGTTGCTTTATGAAAATATACATAGACTAAACAATAATCTAAAGGACAAAAAGGTACAGTGGAACCTGAGGTTACAACTGGCCTGATAAACACCTTGAGTTATGACCAGAATATTAATTTTAACTTATGTCCAAAGTCTTGAGTTACGATCTGAGTGCTGCCCACTTGTGTTTCCAAATGGTCTTAGATACAGATTCAACCTTTGGAGAGCTCTAGAAGGAACATTATTATCCTTTCCTGTATGGGGTTGAGATATCCTGGGCCAGTATCTCTCTAAGGACACTGAGGTCTGCCTGTATGAAGGAGAGAGACTGTGAAGGCTGCGTGGGAGAGCTTGAGTCTTCAACTGACAATTTGAGTTGTAGCCAGCCCTCAGGAATGAATTGAATTCATATGTCGGGCCTATTATACTTTAATCCAAAAATATGTCTTAGATTACAAGATCTGTAAAATAAATAATGCTTTGGAAATTACGTATCAAAAGCCTGTACCATTCTTTAGTTAAATACATTCTTTCCCTTTCCTCTAATTTTTAATTGTAGGTACTCGACCACCACTGATCAAAAACTTACCCAAGCCCATTGAGAGCTTGATGACTCGTTGTTGGTCTAAAGATCCTTCCCAGCGCCCTTCAATGGAGGAAATTGTGAAAATAATGACTCACTTGATGCGGGTATAATCCTTCTTTTGAGGGGCTCTGGGTTTAGGAAAATTGAATATACTCTTAGGTGTTCAAGGGCACATCCCCATTTCCTGCTTTATACTTTATATTTTCAGAGTAAGAATAGGTGTTTGTTACATAATCAGAAGAGTAGACGCTATGGGGGGGGGATACAGTTCTTTATAATGCAAGCTGGCTTGTGTAGATTTCTAGACTTGACTTTTCGTACTGCTTACATTATTATTTGTTTCTGAGGCTATTGTCTTATTTGTAATGTGAGAGAAGCAGAATTAGCCCAAAAGCCTTCACAGGACTTACACCTACGACTTTAATAACATGCCTATCTAATTTTTAAATTTCCTGGTAGAGATTTTCATCAGAATTCAGTTATTTATGCAGGGCACTGGAGAGGTTATATTCTCATACATACTCATTTAGGGGGAGCTATTGGAATCTTTAATTTAGAAGAACTGTTTTCAAATGATAAATTTTCCTAGTCTATAATCAAATATTTTTAAAGTATTCACATATTTTAGGCTTAGCCTTTTGCAACACTAATAAATACATAAAGTGATTCTTTGGCTTTAATAAGTTCAAGTACTTATGAAAGTACATGAATTTCAGAATAGCTTGTTCAGCAGAAGAACCTTACAGTCTTCTCAAATATAGACTAAGTGATGAATTAAATGATCAAAGGTTTAGTTTGTTTATTCTGTGAAAATAGCTAAGGCAAAGCAACTTGAACTAGCCATAGGTACAACCCTAGGCCTAAAGGTGTGTAGTTCGAAGCAGACCTAAAGTAACTTGAAGTAATTGAAAACTTTGGGCTACAAATTATTCAGGTTATTCGTATGTGCTTTGTCTAACTTGAGAAGACTTTTCTTTTTATCCTAACTTCTAGTTTTTTATGTGGTAAATATTTTTAAAATTAATGTACTTAATTTATAGAAAGACAATTCTAGATAATTAAAATGTTAGTCTTAACAGTTACTATGTGGTGTACCAGTCTTAATGGTCAGACTAACAACCATTTCAGCAGTTCAGTTTATGTCACTGGTAGAAGAACATGAATGTGTTTCATATAATTGTGAAAAATGATGCTATTCTATTCCATATGTTCCTCTAGAGAAGCACTTGCTGTTTTCCTCAAGACTATCTAGACTCCATATAAGCTAAATGCTTAGGTAGGTGCATGGCGCTGTCCACAGTTTATGCTCAGAAGGGAGTTTATGTTATCATTTCTGTACAGTAAAAGCTTAGGGCTCTCAAATTCATTATTTGCTGACAGAAAATAAAGCTGCATCTTAGCTACAGTCAGTTTCACAAGAAGAAAATAATTCAAACAAGCCATTCAAGTTAATTTTTAAAGAACTTAATTTATATTAATTTTTTTTTTTAAATTGTGATTTTCTTTTTTATATAGTACTTTCCAGGAGCAGATGAGCCATTGCAGTATCCATGTCAGTATTCAGATGAAGGGCAGAGCAACTCTGCCACCAGTACAGGTAAATGGATAGAGTGGAAAAATTACATCCTGATTTTATTTTATCCATTCCCATGAAATTACAGTCAAGAAGCAATGATTGGTTTCCCCATGTGTATTTAATTCCTTCATTGATATGATTGGCTACACTTTGGATTTCCAGGTTCACCAGTTTCATGAAGCTACCTAGATTAGAGAGTTATTTAAGACCTGCTTCTAAGTATTAGGAATCTTACATAGTAATATATGAAAAGATTGGATAGTAAATTGCTATGAATATCGTTTGAAAAATAGTTTTTACATAAATATTGCTAGAGTAAGTAATATCAGAAATTATTATAAATATATTGTCTTGGTTACTTTTCTCATTGCCGAGACAAAATACCTGATTCCAAAAATTAAAGAAAGATTTATTTAGCTCACAGTGAGTGGAGGTTTAGTCCATAATCGGCTGGCTCCAAGGCAGGTGGACATGGCACAAGGCAACAGCTCCTGGCATGGTGAGATGGCAAAAGAAACAAGAGTTAAAAAGGGAGAAGAGTAGGAGGGCAAGCTGCTCTCCCTGGTGCTGTCCTCAGGCTCCCGCCCCAGGGCAGGTGTAGCACTCGCACCCATAACCCCAGCACAGTACCATGAGTCAGTCACCAACCCTAGGAGGCCTTACCTGTGACTGCGTGAGGCTGTAGGGAGATAGACACAAACTATAACACGTAGGTAGCATTTCTTCATTATGAATACCCCACTTTTTGGTTTTTTTCTGTAGACATTTATTTAATAGCATGTGTTTTAATTAAACATCTTTCAATTTTCTTAAAAATATGAAATAAAAATGTTAGTTTGTGGTGATAATGGTGGAATTAGCTCTCTAACTTAGGAGGATTGTACTTGTCAAAATGTGGCATTGCTTTTCTTGACTTAATTATATCTAAAAGGTGTGTGTATACATACAGCTTTATCCTACACTTAAAATTTCATTTTTACTAACCAATGTATTTACTTATCTGTTTCCTCCACCTTAACAATAGTTTAAACTTTTTTTAGGTGCTTAGCTGTTCCACTAGTTATTTTGAAGTTCTCATTTTACTGAGAAAATGTTTAGTTGCTCTGAATTCTGAAGTGCACTTGTCTTGTGTCTCCCCTTGCCACCAAACCCTCTGCTTGTTTCCAGTTTCCACATCCTCTTTGTTTTCCACATTAAATGTCTGCTGACACATAGTGCCCTAGGAGCCTTTTTGCTTCAGCTTTCCATGTACTTTCAGCCATCTGCAGGATTTTGTGGGAGTGAGGCTCAGCTGTCTTGCCCCTGCCTCAAGTTTGCTTGAGTGAATCACAGTCCTGATCACACTTACGTTGACTCCTTGTGAACAGTACTTGACTCCTCATTTCCAGCTGCTGTTTTTTGCTATTTTTGAGAAAATTGGAGTAATTACAGGACAACTTGTACAAATTCCCCCAGAATGCCACATTCACAGCTACTTGTTGTTATCTAATAGGAACTCAAACCTAACATTTTCCAAACAGTTCCAGGTACTTCGTTTATTCACTCATCCTGTCCTTGGTTTCTCAGTTATTTGCCCTTGGTTCTACTTCAAGTTAGAGTTGGCTGTCAGGTGATTATTTAGGCCTTTGGTACCATTTTTTTGTACTGTTCTTAAACTATATTTAAATTGGGCTTGTTTGACATATCTATAAGTATCAATTTTTTAAATTATTTTACAGTAATTCTGTTCATATCTTGTGAGATTAAAAAAGAATTTAACTTTATTTTATTGAGTGAAGCACTTGTATTATTCATAAAAGTTTCTGCTTTCCTAGGCTCATTCATGGACATCGCCTCTACAAATACCAGTAATAAAAGTGACACTAACACAGAGCAAGTTTGTGCTACAAATGATACTATTAAACGCTTAGAATCCAAATTGTTGAAAAATCAGCCAAAGCAACAGGTTCGTTATGTTTTTTAAAAGAAAGATTGTATAGTAATCTTACAAGTACTCATAAATTTGCCTAAAAATTTAGCAAAGTTGAAATTCTTTGCCATTATCTGTTATTTAAATCCTGAATCTTCATCCTAAAGCAGACAAGTTATTTTAATAACAAAGATTTGAAAAGAGTTTGCCTACCATTTAGTACCACACAAATTGTTCTTCACTTTTGATTTTGTTCCTCTTGAGTAAGGTATTTAGTTAGCGCGTAATAGGGGCATTGCCTACTGCCTGCAGAGACAGCCTTGCGTGGAGGTGGCGTCTGCCTTGTCCGCCTCTCAGCTGTAGCTCCTGCTCCCTGCAGATGTCCCTCCTGTCTCAGAGCAGTTCACAAGGATCCCACTTGGCCCCTCCCTTCTAGGCTGACCAGTATTTCTAAATCCAGAGAACCATACTAATTCAGATTGATCCATAATTTTAACAGAGTGAATCTGGCCGATTAAGCCTGGGAGCGTCTCGTGGCAGTAGTGTGGAGAGCTTGCCCCCCACTTCTGAGGGCAAGAGGATGAGTGCTGACATGTCTGAAATAGAAGCCAGAATCGCAGCGACCACAGGTAAAAAGATCTACAATCTAAAGAGGGAAAAAATGTACACTCTTTTGTGGCATTAGAGTTGCGATTCCTACTGGGGATGACCTTTTTTTTTTAAGTAGAAAGCAGGACAGTATACATTGAAATTCTAAAGAAGAAAAATATGACTTGAAAAATTATTTGGATAATAAAATATATCTTCCCGATTATAGGTCTTATTAAATGTATTTGTGCTTACATATGAGCTTAAAGTTTAAGTGAGAAATTGAAATTAGCCAGAATATTTACATATTTTGATTGATTCTACTAGATATTTGTGCTAAGCTCAAATACTTTGTGTTGAAGTTAGTAAAAAATGGTAATGTAGATCAAGATACAATTCTGTTTTAGAAGGGCCGGCCAGATAGTTCAGTGAACTAAAGCACCTGTGTAGGCAGACACAAGAACCGGGGTTCAATCCCTGGCATGCCCTGCTGGCCCCACCCCTTGGGCGTGCTAAGAAGGCTATTGAGACTGGACGTGGTGGTGCACACCTGTAATCCCAGTGCTTGGGAGGCTGAAAACAGGAGGATCACTATAAGTCCATTCTGTGTAGCGAGACCCTGCAGACCCTGTACTAAATAAAAAATAATAATAATAATAATAATATGAAAAAAAAAATCTATTTTAGTGTCTGGTCCTCCTTCCCTCCAGTGGCAAAAGTAGCTGAGCCAGTTGTGGTTAGTTCATTTCATTGTAATATCAACAGTAGTAATTTAATTGGGTCTTTAAAAAGTAACTTTTATAAATGATATTTTGTCAGTTCTTAAAATTATTGATGATGAACTGGTCAGCATAAAAATAATTGTATGTTTTGTTAGCTAAGAGAACTGACACGCTTTTCTAATCTCATTTCATTTTAGTAATGTTGACTTAATTTGGGTTTGGTTTGGTTTGATTTGGTTTTTCCTGAATCCCCATGGTGGAAAGGAGGTGAAAATGTAAATAAACCTCAAAATTACATAATTATCCTCATTAGAGGTAAACATTGAACATTTTTATGTATTTACCTTTGTCCTTTATATATGCATGTGTATAGTTGTATATATCTGTATGTGTCTGCATATATATTTTTTAACTTGGCTAACCACTTTTTTTTAAGTCTTTCAGTTTGTCTGCTATTCTCTAAATAGAGTATTCTCATTGTTAGAGAACGAGGTGGTTCAGATGGATCTTTGTACTACACTTCTCTTCAACTAGTCATGAGCTTTAATTTTATCATCAAGCACCAGCATCCATTAGACATAACAGTATCACAATAACTGTGTGTGTGACATACAAGCTTTTTCACATGTAGGCAAGCCTGGAGGCTTCTTAATTGCTTAGCTGTCACCTCCTGTCTCTGTGTCACAATCCCGGTTATGTGGCTTCCATCCTCAAGGTTACTTCATAACCCAAAGTGGCTGAGTGGCCCTCCCTACTTTCTCATTCCAGGCAGGAGGAAGAAAAAAAAAAGGGCAGGTGAAAGGACAGCCATGATATTTGAAGGAGCTTTCTCTAACAACATCTACAGAGATTCCATTGGCCAGAATGACAGATAGCTACAGATATAGCCCCATAGCCCTGTCATTTGTCTGGGCACATGCAGTTCACAATAAGGTAGAGTTCTGTTGCTAAGGAAGAAGAAAAGAATAGGCAGAACACTAGTAGTCTGTGAAGGTGGGCCTGCAGAAGTGTAGAAGTTGAGTGGAGGTCACCAGTCACTGACAAACACTCTGGTCTCTGAGAGTTACAGGATTTCCACTGAGCAGGACTGATGAACCCTCCCTGCAGAGAGACACCCCTGTGCTTTAGGGAATCATTTCATTTCAGAAATGTCATTCAAGATAGACTTACCAAATGCTATTCTACCCTGACACAAAAGTGATGTCACAATAGTTTTATGTCTTTGCAGGAATTTATTCTTTAGAGAAGTATTATTTTAATAGGTTAGAGAGAATGAAAAACATTAAATTTTATCCTCTCTGCCTCAGTATAGGACATATGCTATTGTATAGCATTTGAAATTTGTATTTTAGTGAATTATCTTCTTTGTAAGATTCATATTTCAGCTTTTTACAACCATTTTCCTTAGAAGGGATTTACTGTAAACTCTGAAATTAGTAATACTCAGTTTATTAGAAATATGTGTGAGTAGTTACAGTTAAGAAAGGCTATATATTTATACTTTTTCAAGAATTACCATTTAACCACTGAATTTTACTTTATAGCACACTTCGAGAAGCACCTAACAAAAGTATATTCCAGTGTTTGTGAAATTAAATATGGCAGCTTATTTCTTATTAACTCCTTTCTCCTCCCCTCCCTTGTATCATTGGTTTCACTTAGGTAGATTGTTTCCATGAAGATGTTTGACATTCAGCTTCCTCATTACCCTGCAGCATTGTCTGTCTCTTTTTTTTTCCTGCTAATTAAAATCAGTATGTGAAACTTTTTGTATTGTTAGTTGTTTGCTCGTTAATCATGCCTTCTCTAAGCATGGATGAAAAGTTAGATAGTTCTGCATGACATTCTGCATGACATGTTATTAACATAACTTGGAGAATTATCCTGTTTTTGCAGTTAATCATTTTCTATGTTACTATTTGTGGTTGTTTGCATGTATACTGTATATATGTGTTTTTGCAGCCTATTCCAAGCCTAAACGGGGCCACCGTAAAACCGCTTCCTTTGGCAACATTCTGGATGTCCCTGAGATCTTCGTAGCAGGTATCATAGATCACCCGAGTTGGTCTACTAGCTGTGGAACTGGAGTAATGATCCCTGGTGCCTTGCCAATGCTTCTTGCTCCAATTTTTATACAACATGAAAGTACATTTGCATGCACTAATTAGGAAGACCCATTAAAAGCTGTGTATTCTGAAATGACTGTAAAAGATAACCTCCAACCTCTGATAGTGTGGATAAAATAGACTACCCATCTGTCCACTCGGGCTTCTACCAACTTCTTCCTTCTTGGTAGTGGACAAGTGAGCTTCGCACACCTTTTTGTCCCCAGCCAGAGGAAGCCTATTTTAAATTGTCTGTCCACCCTTTGTGTCCTTCATTCCTCCACTTCTTTTGGAGCCCCCTCTATACCTTCTGTCCTAGCCTCTTTCTGTTAGTAGCAAGTGATACAAAGTTTAAAAAAGTTGCTAAATACCAGTTTTCTGAACTGGTATCTAGAAAAACAAAGTAAAACTAAATGAGATTTGCTGTTTCATAGAGTATTATTGCCAAAAAGGAAAAAAACTTATTTAAAATAAATGATTAATTCTAGTTCTTGTGTATTATCAGGAATATTTCACAAATTGTTACTATATCTTAAATCACAAATGTATTTCAGTGTCTCAAAGTGATAAGCTGATTTGATTTCTTTTTTCTCATGGTGATCATTTCATAGATGAATATAAATCATTTCTAATACAAACTCAAATGGCATATTGACCTTGAATACTGATTAATGTATGTTACTTTTATTCAAGTATTCATATTTCTGCTTTAGATTTTTCTCCTCCTATATATTGAGACATGTCATGCACCATATTTTCCAGACACATCCATGAATGTAATTTGAATGACTTCTGAAGCACTGTGTGTGTGTTGGGTTTGTTTGGGCTTTTAGTATAATATTTCCACTATAATTGATTACTACTTGAATGCCTTTTCTTCTGCCAAATTGACAACTCTTCAAGGGTAACAGTCCATGTCTGTATTAGTTACTGTTGATTCTATCAGCAGTAGCTAACTCATTTCATTCTATTTCTTCTCTCTTCTCTCTTCTCTCTCTCTCTCTCTGTTGCAGTTTGAACCCAGGATGTGATACATATGGGGCCAATGTCCTACCACTGACTTACATCTCCAGTCCTAAAGAGTGGCACTTTTTGTAGTGCTGGGCATCTCACCCAGGGCCACAGTATACCTCATTGGCAAGCACCCCACTAGTGAGCTATCCCTTTATCCCATTGCTTCATATAGTGAATATAGTGTTTAGTAAGTATGTATTTAGGTAAACATAACTACTTTGAACATTTTCTGTAGGTAGGAACTAGAAAACAAGACTATAAATTGTGCAACTTTAGAGGCTATTTTATCTATCAAATAAACTATTTCTCACTAGTTTTTAAAGTGGTTTTTTATATTACAAAATTGTTAGCTAGGCGTGGTAGTGCATGCCTGTAGTTTCTACACTTAGGAGGCTGAGGTAGGAGGATCATTGTAAGTTCAAAGTAAACTCAAGGCCAGCGTGAACTGCACAGCAAGACTTTTGTGTCAAAAAAAAATGAAAACAAAACAAAACCAAAAAATTGTCATTATTGCTGTTCAAAGAACAATGCTGATTCATTTCGTGTAATTTATGTGTATTGAGTGAGGGTTGTGTTAGAAGTTAAATATATTTGGAATCATATTTCTGTGCTGAAAGTTACCCCATAAGGTTGATGGTATAGCTCAGTGGAACAAAAGCTTGCTTAGGTAAACACAGGGGCCAGGGTTCAATCCCTGGCACCAACCACATGCCATGCCAGCCCTGCCCCCGAGTGTGCTGAGCTGGTAGTGGATTCCTTTGTGTAGGTGTGGTGGTGCATGCATGTAATCCCAGCACTAAGGAGGCAGAAAATCTGGAGGATCACTGTGAGTCCAAGCTGCATATCAGATGTGAGACCCTGCACAAAAGAAAACTTTAAAAAGTTACCACATATAAGAAAGTAATATTCCGACTAAAGAATTGACAATGTTTAAACTTAAATTATACTGAACTGTGATTATTTTTTGAAAAAAAAATCAGGAAAATTTAGAAGAATAGCAGTATAGTCTAGATGCTGTAGGTAAGCCTTAAGAACAAGTATGTATATAACAGCATAGCCAGTATTATCCAAGATGATAGGGGAAGGAGTGGAGGGGAAAGAATACTAGCTTACAATTGGCAGAGGTGCAGCATACAGCCCTGGAGGCCAACATCCCAGCGCTGCTGAATAGTCCCCACAGCAGGAATTAACCAGTCCAGCAAACTGAACAGTGCTGAATCTGAGAAGCCCTGCCTAGGTGCACTTTGTGAACTGCAGACTAGGGTGAAGTCATTGACCTTCATTAAGTCTTCTAGCAGGTCATCAGATGAAGTAGCCGTTCTGTGGATGAATTTAGATATTATGAGGCTCAGTGGTTTTCTGAGCATCATGCAACTGGAGCCCTAGCCCAGATCTTCTAACTCCAAATCTCATTAATTTTCTTCTGTTCTATAAATCACAGAAGGTCGTGTTCACATTAAGGAGTGCTCCTCACTCAGGGAGATCATGGCATTGGGTCCTTTATGGAATCAGAAAACCTTAATTCTACTGTTACCTGCCAGAGTAGCAGTGTTGTTTGAATGATAATATTCAGTAATACATTTTATTCCGTTTTCTTGTGTCATTCCTCTCCTCACCCCCAGATACCTATATATTAACATCATCAATTTGCAAGCCTTGTGCCTCAGCCTCCCAGAGTGCTGGAATGACTGCACTAATATTGTCAAAGTTTTGTCTCTAAATGATTTCCCACAAATTCTATTGTCTTAAGAGATAGTAAAAGGCCGGTGATACCTCAGCAGACTAAGCGCCTGCATAGGTGAGCACATGGACTGGGGTTTCAATCCCTGGCACTGCATGCTGCCCAGCCCCGCCTCTGGTGCAAGCCTATACTCCCAGCGCTGGGGAAGCTGAAAACAAGAGGATCACTACAGGTCCAAGCTGCATAGTAAGCCGCTGTACCAGATACACTAAAAAACAAGAGCGATAAAAGATTCGTACTGTTTTGTGGAAATCTTCAATGACCTTTTAAATGCGTTCATCTAATATAATTATATTTTATGAGGTCCTGCATTAAAAAGAAAAAAATAAAGGAGATTGCATGTTTTTCCCTAAACATCAATATGAAGAAACAGTGGCATAAAAAGAATTAAGATTTTCTGTCAAGATTTAGCAAGTTTCTACCTTGTATAAGTAGTATGATTAGCGGTTACAAATCTTTAATTAGCATTGTTGGGACCACTAGGAGCTATATATCTTTTTCTATGTACAGCCAATCTTGTATTTGTGGCTAATTAGAGAACTTAATTTAATGTTACACTAACCTCTCCTCCAGATTATAGAGTACTGAGATCATTTTTTGTAAAAAAAAAAAAAAAAACTTTAACCTTTATAAAAGAGCTGATTTATTAGAAGCCAAGGCTTAATCAATAAGTAGTCCTTACTTTCTTTTGACAGGAAATTTTTTTAAAACCATTCTGAGGTGTGTTGTAAGAGACCAAATATATTGAAATTAGTTTTAAAAAAAAGAAAAATAAGTTTATTATAGTCTAAATGAGAACAGTTAATAATTAGATTTTCAATTTAACATACAGTGCCCCATTATTTTTAATATTTAAAATTGTGAATGTCAAATTTTTCAGTGTATTGGTTAAGAGACATCTCCAGGAAAAGGAGGAGAAAATACTCCAGTGTTAGTATTTATTAAATAAAAAGAAGTAGGGGCCAGGGATATAGCTCAGTGGTGTAAGCACCTGCCTGGCAAGCGCAAGGTCCTGAGTTTGAGCCCTAGTACCACAAAAAAATTTAAAAAATTATAAAATAAATAAAAAGGACTTTTAGGAATATTGAAAGATTAGGATAGTTAAGGTAAAGGAGACTATGAACTTATTTAAACCAATAGAACCCACAGCTATAGATGGGGACCTAAGCCAGGTCTCTGGAGGAATTCAGTGATGACTTTCAAATATTCATTCAGGAAATCAATTTTACTTAAAAGAGCAGTTTCTTTGAAGAGCTAGATTCTATCTCTAAGACACCACTGCAGAAAGAACTGAATTGACTTATAAACTGCTGTTGACTTCCTTTCTAAGGGAAGGAGTTTGGCAGTGGCACGCAGCAGAGGCAACCAATGTGGTAGGTTCTTCTGCTCTTCCAAGAGTCATTTTCTAAAATGTCATTTCTTTTCCTATATCAGAAGTCATGAAAATTCCAGAATTAGTTGCAAGCTCAAATGATCGTATGCAGGTGACAGATTCCTTAATGTGCATCAGTATAATGCGTACCTCGATATAGCATGCATACCTCCTTTCTTCTCTTCACTTTGTACTACCATGTGTAATACAGTTAATACACAAAAAGAATATGGAATAATGTAAATTGTGCATTCCTCTAAACTAGTATCCAGTTGCAAAGTTTTCAGAATCCATATTTTCTGAGGATGCACCAAGTAATTTTCATTCACAATAAGATTGATTTTTTTTAACATTCATATTTCTAAATATGACTTTTAGTATTTTATTTTTTATTTTTCTTTGTCTTTTTGAAACACTATGCAGTTTAGGCTGGCTTTGAGCTCATTTTGTAGCCCAGGCTGGTCTCAGATTCACAACAAACCTCAGCCTCTGGAGTGCTGGGATTGTAGACAGGTGCCACCATGCCCAGTTTAAATACTACTTTTAAACTAAATATTGGAGCAACAAGTATTGGCTGATTGTAATCCTTTTTGCTTTGTCTGAACTATTGCCTGATGATTTCTGCCATTGTTACACTAATTAAAATGTGTTGCCTAATTCTGCTTGTTTTGACTCATGCTATAGCTTGAAGATTTCTCATTTTATGGCATTTAACTGTCCCCTTCTTCACCCTACTTTAAAAGTTTTTATGCCCATTTCCTCCTCCTCGCAACCTAGATTCGGGTTTGTTTCTGTTGTTACTGCAGTGGTGATGTAATGGTTTATAGACGCATGTGCTGGTCGGTTTCTCAGATTCACAAATGTTGCTGATCTGGAAAGAGAATTCCAAACAATTTTACAAGCCTGTCTCATGAACACTAATTTTAGAATAAGTGTGTTGAATGAAATGTGTCTAAAATTGCATATTAGTCATAGTGTTGGTGATCCTTTTTGTCCTTGGAAACAAGGATAGTTAAAAATATTCATAAAAGGATCTTAGTGTGTCTGATTCAAGAAGTGTACTTTGTGGTTTTCATCTGTAATGGAAAGTTGGGTCTTCTGGTAAATTGAAATTTAAAGTAAATTTGAATTCAAACCACAGAATTCTAACCATTCTGAAATTGAAAACAGTGGTAGTGACTTATACTATGAAGGGTGTCTATTAAGAGTTTTATATTCACTACACATATTAAACATGCATAAGGCTTCATTTAGCTTATGTTCAAAACAAAAATGAAGTCACATGGATTAAGTAGAGAAGTTAGTGACTGGTGTGAGGGATTTTATTCTCAGAATAAAAAAAAAAGAAAAAAACATTTAAAAAATTAATTGCCAGAATCTGGGAGATAGCTCAGCGCCTGCTTGGCAAGCACAAGGTCCTGAGTTCAATCCCTGGTACAAAAAAAAAAAAAAGATTCTAAAATGAATTGTGAATTGGGCCATCACTCATAAAGTACACATTCTGAGTACTGCCTGTGGGTTGCACATTTACATAATACAGCTCTCAGAATCAAAAGAATTTTGAGTGTTGTGTCAGCTGTTACTCTCACTGCATTTTGATGTTTCCTTTTAGACAGCTGTTCTTTCATCTCAGAAGATACCGTATAAAGAGCCCTATCCCCAGATAAAAGTCCCACATGATACTATTGCTTAATTCATTCCATTTTGCTGAAGTTTTTAGCATTCTTTTTTTTTATTTTTTTTTATTTTTTGGCAAAACCGGGGATTGAACTCAGGCCCTTGAGCTTGCCAGGCAGGCGCTTATTCTACTGAGCTATTTCCCCGGCCCTGTGTAGCATTCTTTTTTACTGCATTAGAAATTCAGTAAAGCACGGTATACATTACAGCCTCTTTCTGCAAGCTGTGTATTTGAAAACAGAAAAAAAAATGAGTTATTATTCACAAGTAACACTTTACTAGACTCTAACAATGACTAATGGGATTAAATCTGATTTAGTTTTAACAAATTGATGCCTAGGCATCCATCCTTAGAGGCCTTGAAGCAAGGTGCTGTTGCCAGTGAGTCGCTCTTGCGACCTGCTACTCGCTGTCTTGCTGTTAAATTCTGTAACGTAAGGTCCTGGAAATAGATGCCGCCATCAGCTGCAGGCCCCGAGTATCCATCTATTTATGCTCATGACAGAAGATGGTGGCAGAGTCCAGCAGCTCTTTGTGTGGTGGGAGTGGATGTTGTGTTCAGATGTACAGTACTGTGTTGCGGGACAGCAGCTTGTGAGTTAGACCGCTGCCGCTGTTCTCTCCTTTCTCTGTGGTTTGGGGGCTTGGATGGGTTTTTTTTCTTTCTTTAACACTAAGCTCACATTTTTTTCTTATTCATGTAGATCTGAGGAGCAACAAATTGCAGCTTCTTCCTGTAGCAGTTACCTCCTTACCATCCTTGTTACCTGTTTGAGTAGATTTCAGTGTCTTTTTTTACTTTTTAAAAGGCAATGGGCAACCAAGACGTAGATCCATCCAAGACTTGAGCGTCACTGGAACAGAACCTGGGCAGGTAAGAATTAATGTTCACGTCACCTGCTTTTGAGAAGACAGAAATCAAGATACACATGCTTTGCAAAACTAATTTTATGAGTTGACCTAAATTGTGGTAGAGCAATTCATTGACCCTGAACCCAAATACTTCAGAGGGAAAAAAGCAAAGTTGCTATTACTAATTTAACTTGAAGGGTAAGTTAGGAAGTTGCATGGGAAGTAAATTGTTTAGTAGTGCTCTGTGTGTGTTACATGATTTTCACATATGTTTTAATAGAGAATAATTCAACTTTGTAATTTAATGATGTCTTATAATTTAATGATGTTGTGACCATTGTCACGTAAAGCAAAGCAGGTCATTCCTCTGGGGTCACAGAGAGCAGGGGCATACCTAGGCAGGTAACATCTTTTGTTCTTGCATATTTGTACCTGATTTATATTTTTGTAAACTTTAGAAAGGCTTCTATCCCAGTTCTTATGGTTTATATTAATTATGTTTACAGGGGCTTGTCCAACCTTCTGCTGTCTCTATCAGTATTTCTGTATAGCTAGTTCAGATAGCATATAATTTAAGAAATTACTGACTAATACAGAACCTTAACCAACTAGGTGTATGAGAGTAGCTCCATCTTTTTTTGATAATCAGACTGTACTTGACATAATTTATATCATGTTCTTTAAAATTCAGGTCAGTTGTGAGATGTTTTGTTGTTTTCTTAGTTGTGGTGAAATAAATTTTGAGTACAGCATGCCTAGAAATAATAAAATTATCACATCATGATTTATAGTCATGTAAAATTTTAGCACTGTATTTTAGCACATGTAAAATTTTAGCACATGTAAAATTTTAGCAGTGTAATTTAATGTGTGATAACATCCTAGAAAGCGTTTTGATTTCATTTTTATAAAATGAAATAAATGGGATTCTTTGTAGTTGTTAATAAAACTTTGATAGCCCTTTATAGTCATTGACTTTAAAGTCAGTGAGGTATTTTAAGTGACAAATATCTGCTCTTTATTTATATTTGGAAGTACTTTCATTACCAAATTCATAATACCTCCATAAATGTATGTAATGTTCCTTAAATAGAAATGTACATTCTTTATTACATATTTTATTACATGTTTTTTATTACACAATAAATCTTTATTTCACTTACTCAGTAAAAGTATTTCTTTAGAGACTCAGAACTTTAAATGCAGTATCTGCCCTTTCTCCCCTCAGATACTTAAGGGCATCACTTAGCCCATTAGTAACAGATAGTTTGACATCTGGTGCTATTTGCTTTCATTCCTTAGAGTCTTGATGAGCTCAGCCTTTTAATCTGTTTACTGTTGTCATTTGTACTCCAGTCGGAGAACCTCTAGCCAAGTATTCTCCCTTTGATTAGGAATGGGAGGCTGGCCCTTAGATACATCGGGAGTGACTGCTAATGTGAGTGCTTTTCCTGGATTTGCAGATTGCAGGTCTTTTGGTTCAGATACCTCCCACAAGACATGTATATGTGGAGGGTGATTGGATCGAGGGGCAGTGTACTCACCAAAGCACTCACTCATTGAAGAGTTCAGTAGCTGAATACATAGTTAGGAGGCGGGCCTGGTTGGAGGTGGGTCATTGGATATGTGACCCGGAAGGATGTGTTTTTGTGTATTCTTGACCCCAACTCTGTCTGTCTGTCTGTCTGTCTGTCCACACCCCTTTCCCCCACAACTACCTTCTTCTCTCTGTCTTTCCCTCCCTCCCTCCTTCCAGGCCTCTTTCCTTCACCATCTGCTTTCACTGTGCTCTTTGTGTCGTCCATCCGGCCATGTGCTGAACCTACTGAAACAGAATAAATCTCTGTAATTGACAAGTGCTGAGTATTGTGTCTCAGTGAACAGAAAGCTAATGTGGACAGTGTTGCTATAGTTCAGTACTGGTCTCTCTACCAAGCCTTACATATTTCTTTATAACTTGGAATTGTGATTATTAACTTATTAATTGACAGTACCTTCAGGTAGTAAAACATGGGCTATGGTAGTGGCATGCACTGTTATGAAATATTCCAAAAGATTGGTGTAAAGGAGTTGTTTTTGTTTTTGTTTTTGTTTTTAGGAGTGTTTGATACAGCAGTAAAACTTGTTTTAAAATAGTTGATATATAACCACTGTAGAGCAGTTTTTAAAATCAGTCCAGTCTTTCAGATTTACTTCACTATTATAACCTTAAGATGTCTAATGTCTAATTTGGGATACAAATGATAAACAGTAATCCTAATGTACTATGAAAATATTTTTCCCCTGAAAGACATATGATAAATGACCATTGAATTAAATACTCATGAAAATGAATTCATTGTTTAGAAGAAGAAAAATATTCACAACATGGATTTGTTTGTTTGTTTTGCTTATTTTTGGTTATACTGTGGGTGGAACCTACACCCCAACCCTTTTTTTATTTTGAGACAGACAGCTCTTTAAATTGCCCAATCTTGACCTTGCGATTCTCTCGCCTCAGCCTCCTGGAGAGCTGGGATCGCAGGCAGTGCCGGCACACATTGCTCAGCGTGGATTTCTAAACCCTGAAGGTGTGGTCCAGTGCTGGTGAACCTGTGGCACATATGCTTCGGGGTTTTGTTTTGTTTTGTTTTGTTTAAGACAAACAGTGTTAATGGATGCATTTTTTCTAACAAAAAAAAAAAAAAAAGCCTCAGTCTTTAGGTTTAATAGCAGTTGGCACTTTTCAGAAAGTGAATTTTCAGTTGTAGTTTGGGCACTCGTCTGGTTCACCACCACTTGTATAGGTCTTTCAGAAACATAGCAAACTAGTGATTGTGTTGGTGCTAAAGAGTTTTTGTTTTGGCTTTCATTTTTTTCTAGCCAAAGAAATTGATAAGAACATGAAGCAAAGATTGTGGCCCACCCAATAAAACCACCAGAGGAAATGAGAGAACTTAGTGATAAAGCCTAACTTTACTTGGTGTAGAAAAAATAGAACTGACCGAACTTGGTAGCTTAGCTCTTGACTCGAGCCATTATCTCAATAAAATCACTTAAACCAGTGAGGGCAAGCCTTTCGGAGCTTCCAGCAACAACAAACAACCTGCTGCAACACACATGTCCTGAATTCACCACCGCTGACTTAGTCTTTTCATCTATAAGAAAATATAGATGTTTTTCTTTTCTCTTTCTTGCTAGAGGAATAGTGAACAAAGGCAAATATCTTTATTAAATATACCAAAAAAAGAAGAAAAAGTAAGATGGATATAGATTGCATTTCCTTTACCTGGGATTCTTGCCACCTGAAGGGTTCAGAGTTTGTAATATTTGCCCAGGCTTTACAGACTAAGGGCCTCTGATCTCTAAGGTCAGTGCCAGTGATGCTGAGAGTTGAATTTTTGGAGCATTTCTGATTCTAGGTTTTTCAGGTACAGGATATTCAACTTGTGTAACACAATGTTAATAGATACCTCAGTGTTAAGGTTCTGAAACATGTCATTCTGATTTTCTGTTTTTAAATTATAAGTTACTATATAACATACAGTGTATGAACAATAAATGCAGTAAATGTAAATATATATGTAAAAATGATATATTCATAACATACACTTGCTCTGAAGCATGGTTTGCTATTAATTCAGGAAGCTTTTTGAGCTTTCATGGTTGATCTAGTCCCCTAGAGGTTTCAAGAAAGCAAAAGTAACCCCACACATCCATAAATTGATCTGACACAGAGGCCTCAGTGTGTTTTGAAGTTGCCCTAGTTCTCAAAGTTGAGCTATATCTCCCCACACACAAGCATCAGACAAGGTGAGGCTGAAACCATGATAAAAAAACAAGTAACTGTATAATGCAGTCCAGTCAGCACAGACAAGAAGCCAGCACGAGCGGCTGCTGCTACTACTTTTGCCAACTTCTGCCTTATCTTCAGTCTGGTCTGTCTTCTCTCCCTCCCTGTAGAATTGCCTCTGTTACTGACATCAGCCAGTCCAGACTGAACCCCTCCTTCAGGGCCACCCAGAAATGAGTCAGCAAAAGCCTAAATCCTGTAATGGTTCCTCTCAATAACCTTCTCATTGAGACTCACTGTGATGTGCCGTGGTGAGCACTCTTCTTCATAGCAACAAGCATTGAGCCCACGGCGCTGCCAGTGTATTCCAGGCGGTGCTGTGCTGGAGGCCATAACAGAACCCGTACTGCCCACACCCAGGAACTTTACTGGTGACTTAGGCTTTCTCAGGCAGTGCTCTCCAGAACTGCCGTGATCACAGCTGCCATTTGTTGCACACTAACTTTGTACCAAGTATTGCTGTACATTATCTAAATCTTAATCCTACTAAATATGTTCTTATTTCCTTGTTGGTTGGTAAACTAAGGATTAGAAAACCTTAACCGAAGCCTGTATCTTCCCCCATGCTGTTATAGCTTTGTTGTGACCAGGCCTTTTTTTTTTTTTTTTTTTATGTATTTGGATGTTACAAGGTCTTACTACGCAGCTCAGACTGGTAGTGATCCTCCTGTTTTTCAGCCTGCCCAACGCTGGGATTGGAGGTATGCGCCACCGCACCTGGAATCTGTGGCCCACTCAGCCCGCCCTAGGGGCATGGCTGGCACAGCATGTGGTGCCAGGATCGAACCTTAGTCCCTGCACTTGCCTAAGCAGGCGCTTTACTCCACTGATCTATCTTTCTAGCCAGTGACCAGGCTTTTAATCTGAACCAGGTTCCATGACCCAGAAGCCCTGCTTTCTTCCTTCCATCTTGCATAAAACGGTTTATATGATGCACATTAACATTCTCCTAGTAAATGTTAAGTCACTTGGTTTCTGAGAGTCTGTATCATTATTTAAACAGTTTTCAGTGGACAAGTTTAGTTATATTGTATCTTTGAGGAACACTAATCCATAATAAAATAGTGATCTGTACAGGATAAAAGAATTCTATAGATGACTGTGCTAGTTTGTTTTTCACACATCTAGTTGTGCCCCTGTTACACTACTGGTACGTGTTGTCAGGTATGCCTGCCTCCTTTTGGAGCTGT